CGTTCGGGCGGCGTAGCCGCCCGAACCCAAGCATTACTGTCAATACACCCCACTGTCCACATGGGTTAGGATTTATTTGTTTTATAGCACACATTTTAAATTTGGTGCCTGTTGGACCGACAAGTAACGAGACGCATGCGCATGAAGTCAGAGAGCATGAAGAAGGCATACTGGTAGCACTACACATAGGCTGCGTTCGGAAACGTCGCTCGGATGCCTCCGATGCCTCGGATTCATCATCTGTCCTCGTTTAACATTTAATGTTAAAGAAGGACAGATGATGAATTCGAGGCATCGGAGGCATCCGAGCGACGTTTCCGAATGCAGCCATAGTCGGTATGACAGATTTCCTAACCTGCAGAGTCGTCAACTTTAACGCTAAATATCTCGGTTCGCGAGGCAGAGCGACACTTTTTTCTGCCAGATTCTTTCGTTTTGTGCAAAAACGCGTCGAATAAGCCTAATTTCATCGAAATCGGAGGTGAGGGAGGTATTCTGAATAATTACCGGAATTTTAATCAATCAATATCAATTTAACATATTATTGAAAAGAACACATAAATTTCCTACCGTCAGATCATACAACATCAATACATCTTGTCCTTCGCTCCTGCATTCAACGCACAGGCTGCTACATTTCCGTCAAAGTGTGAACACGCCCTTATTATAGGGACTCTAGCTTCGAAGAGTTTGTAGCGTCAAGTGGACCGCAGTCAATTGAGCCAATATTCTGAGAAGGAAAATTGTCGCTCAAGTTCCGTTTTATTTATTTAATTTTAATTTGAAAGTTTTTTTATGTTGGTAAGTTAAAAAACGATAATTTAATGATAATTTATGACTATGCATGCATGTGTAATCACTGAAATAAATATACACTAAAATCTTTCAAATTAAGGGTGCCGTCACATGCGACGTAACCTGCGTAAGCGTAACCTGCGTATTCTAGTAATTTACTAGAATACGTTATTTTTTATTTACTAGAATACGCTATTCTGAAAGCCGGCATTCACATTGGGCGTATTTCGCGGAAGATTAGAGAAATGCGGAACTAATGCAACCAATTGCTGATTAGAATTTCTGTTGTACACTCTAACAGAAATGCTAAACGAATTTACGATTGGTTTTCGTAACCTACGCAACTCGAAAAGTACGCCTCATGGGGAACCGGTACTTTCTATCGCGTACATACAATACGCGTTTGTACAAATTTAGAAGAAGAAAGTCTGATTTATAATGGCCGTAACCGTTAACTTATGCTGATGCCGGTAAAGTTCAACCATAGGATTTCAATGCTTTCGTTCATACTAACTTGCTGTATTAGTATGAACGAAAGCATTGAAATCTTATGGTTGAAAGCAAATTACGCTTACGCAGATTATGCCGTATGTGACGGTACCCTCATAGAGGTACCGCAAAAAAAGTGGATATCGTTGTGTAGTTGACATCCACTTCTTCAGAGGGCGATAGCGCGCAGGACATTTTGCGTGTTTTATGGTTTACAGGAAAAAGGCCCTCATTCATGTCCACTGGTGTTCTTTAGTCTCAGATCCCAGGTTTCTCTCTAGTTGTACATTTAATATATTTATAAAATATATGTCTTAATTATGCGAAATTGCACATAAAATAGTGGCGTTTTTTCCTTAAAGAAGCCACGAGAAAAGAGGATAAATTCTGCAACACGGTTGACACACGTTAATTATTCTGAGCTTAATAATTGGTTTTAATACGTTGCAAATTGTGATTGCATCGTTTTTCAAGGGATCTCACAAGTGTCTCTTCTATTCTACAAAATGGTACATACGTATACATAATTCCGTAATTTCGCACGACTGAATAATTGTTCATGGAATGTGTACATTTTCAGGCGCAAGAGGTCGAAGAAACTATGAAACGGATTCAATCTCACAAGGGAGTAGTTGGAACAATAGTGGTAAACGCAGAAGGTAAACGCAAAATTTTGTTTTACATTTAAAAAAGAACATGTGACATCATCTATCCGTGTATGTCAGGAAATTCTCACTGAATTTTGCACTTTGATTTTTAGGTATTCCAATAAAATCAACATTAGACAACACAACAACAGTTCAGTACGCAGGTTTGATAAGTCAATTATCAGACAAAGCCCGTTCTGTTGTGCGCGATCTGGATCCAACCAATGATTTAACTTTCCTGCGCATCCGTAGCAAAAAGCATGAAATTATGGTTGCACCAGACAAGGAATTTATATTGATAGTAGTGCAAAATCCAGTTGATTGATATCTAAAGACTACAGAAGTACATTGCAGAATTCACCTTTATTCCTTTAATAATTTTATCGATTAATTTATTCTACATATTGCGTTTGATTTTAATAATTAATTAAGAAATGAAAGAATAAAACTCTATTGGTATAATACAATATTTTATTTCCAAGATAGTTTAGTGGAGATTTAAGAACTTTCGAACTGTTTTCTTTGGTAATTCATATTTTATGGTACTTTTGCAAATCAGTTTAGTAATAGATTCTGAATAAACACTTAATTATTCCTGCATCTGCATCATTTCAAACAACTGTGAATGTATGTGCATATACATATACATATATTCTGTTCTATATGTGATACCTAATTTCTATATATGATTTATTCGTATTTTATAATATTCTTTAGTACAGTTTGTATTATAGAATATATTTATTGTATCATAATGTTCTGTTAATTTATGATTTAATTCCATAAAAAAAATTGAAATATTTTTATTATTACTTATTACTTTTATATTTTATGTGAAAATATACTTTATAATCACACTACACACGCGCGTATTCATGTATCAAAATGAAGGAGTACAAACTAATACAACACAGAGAATTAAAAGTTGAATAAAATGAGAAGGAAAAATGTTTTTTTTTCAATTGTGTGTTTTATCATATATTTGTCATAAACACAAATGTGTTGACAAATAATATATTAGAATGTCACAATGTACTTTATTTTATTATATTTATTTCAATATATAAAAAATGTATACAAACTATTCGAAGATTGAAAAAATTGTATATGGACATAAGTCTAAGTTGATAAAAATAAATTTATTTTGAAATTTGGGAAAATATAAATTTCGATATGTATAACGACAAACACACGAGATATATTATAGAGTACTATTTCTTTTATTTCAAAGTTAAATGATAAAATCCTTGTCAATGTAATCTTCTTACTCTAAGAAAAAAAATTTTTTATAAATATATTAAAATAATTAAAAAAATATTTTTGTTCCTTTTTATTTTAAATATTCAGAAATTTATTCTTTTATTGTAAAAAAGTAGTCTTCAGCATCAATATCACATAACATGTATCTAACACCCTTTATTAAAAATTTGCAAGTAGCATTATATTAGATATAACATATAAGGCCTTGCGCACGATAGAAGGAATTAGGAATAAACGATTTCAACCTATATAAAAACCATGTATTCTGATGTATTCGATTTTTTATAGGTTAGAATCGTTTATTCTTTATTCCTAATTCCTTATTCCTTCTTGTGTGCAGGGCCTAAATTATATATCCCTGAGAAATATTTCTTGCAGTTTAAATAAAAAAAGTAAAAAAAAAAAGATTCTTATTAAAGATTTCAATATAAAAAAACAATATCTAGTTGGCTTCTATTGATCATAACACAGCCATGTACTTACATTTCTGCGTAGTCTACGAGACATTTTAAAACTATGTTACAGATTTAGTCAAATTGTGGCCTTGCTTTTATATATATATATATTTTTTTTTTAAGAATATGGAATGGTGTTATAGAGATATGAACATATTTATGTGTATTTACTTTCTTTTGCAAAAAAATTTTATAAATTATATGTAAACAAATATATGTATATAATAAATTTATATATTATATATATAAATTTTAATATTGAGATTCTTTCTTTTGAGATATATAATGTGTATCAAAAGATACTTTGTAAACTATAATATAAAGTTAATTTAATCTCCTTCAAGTAAAAAATAGATATCCACAATTACATGACTTGAAGTGAATTTGAAGCATGTTGCTTTTTTGAAGGGTGAAATCTAGTATAATATACTACCATTGCTGTAATTCCTAGTAAAAAGGAAACGATACAAATAATAAAGAATACGTTAAAATACCAAGCCTCTCCAACTTCAGAAGGACAGGTATATCTCCACAATAGATTGGAAGTAATATTTTCTGCAAAGCAGAGCATATAGAAACATAGATGTTTCCAAAATGTATTGCTATCTACGGTATTTAAATATATGAAAATGTAAACTATGCCAATAACTATGGCAAATAAGCTAGAATAAATGCGGTCTTTAAATGTTGGCAGCATATGTGGTGGGTGACCATAAGCCCGACAAAACTCTAATATCCCATGGGAATTGATCAAAATCCATATTGTCATGATTACCCAATGTATTAAGCAACCGATTATGGTATATAGAGGCCAGACGCTTGCAATAACACTGAGAGATAAGATTCTTGCCACTGTAATCATGATAATCAGTTATAATCAGTGATTTTTTTTTTTAAATATTTGTCTCAATTAGAATATCATGTCATCTGTTAATTGTTGAATATGTACCTGTGATGCTAAAGTGCCACAGAAATTGTAATACAGTTCCTACAACACCAATATTTAATTTATTTTGTTGAGCTAATCGAATGCTACGATGGTAACTGGCCATTGCCCAACCCATGCTTGCAAGTGAGCTGACAATACTAGCTACTTGATGTATAACTGAAAAATAACATGAAAAACATGTTAAAAGAATTGTAATAATCTATTACAATAAGCTACAATTATTTGACAACAAATTGGAATAATTAGGTCTTTGAAACAATTATTTTCTTCATTGTCAATTGTGCTACGACGCTAAATCTCTAGTAGCTTTACAAATATATGTGAGATTGGGCATAAAATATATTCCACAAAGTATAGATACATTCAAAATTAATTTCATTGTGGTAATGCTTTAACATCAGAGTTAGCTGTAGGATTTGTTGCGGTGCAGCTTCCAAGAAACATTCAAATATTCTTAACAAGGCAACATCTTGATCCTCTTTGAGCATCCTTAGATAATATCTCCTTTCATTGACACGATCTCCAGATTTCTTGCATTTACGTGCTTTTAACGCACACTTCAAGGTTTCCCAGTAATGTACAACTGGTGCCAGTTGCAAAAAAACAGCAATCATACAATACAATCCATTTTTAATCAACAAATGCGTTGTTTTATAATCGTTTTGTGTACTGGAACTTGTCTATATCAAGGAACATATGTTACTCGAAATCCGACAGAAATAAACCGAGTTAAACGTATGCGTATATAATAGTACTTCACTTCTTTATCTTGAAACTGCATCTTCCTGCTAACGTTGATCAGAGAGGGAACGAGTATGAGGCACATTGTCCAAGCAAAGTATGTTACTTTGCCGCCCAGGTAGTATTGGATGGCAATGTTATAATCGAAACCCATGTCGACGACATGCATTATTATGGAGCAAGCCAGCAAGAAGACATCCAGTCTGGAGATACGGGGGGTATCTGTCGGCAGGTCAGTGACGTCAACGTCGAAATGGATACCTGGAAACACGCTGACGAGATGGAAAGAACGACGTTCGCAATTTCTCTCCTCCATGGCTTAAACAGGTTCTACAATGAGTTTTTAGTCTGTAGTCTGTAATCGGAAGTCTTAATGCGGGGTCTACAATAGAAGTCGTAGAGGTCGTAGGATCTTAAGTCGTAGAAAATTGATCAATCACAGTTGATTATTCTTCTCATATTCGACTGTGATTGGTCAATTTTCTACGACTTAGAACCTTACGACCGCTACTTCTATTGTAGATCCCGTATTAAGGCTCATCTACATAGAAATCGTAGATGATTGTGGGGTCTTAAGGAACGCTAGTTGTATAGCGAATCGTTTGGCTTGACCAATGAGAAAGAAGTTGAATTTTCGGAAAGGGGCTGAATACAATCAGTTCTAAAATAGAAAATCATTTATTTGTGTTGTGTGTTTAATAATAAACTGGTAATATAGTGATAGAGTGATGGATGATAAAGAAGTATTGGTTGCGTTCAGCAGAGAAAGCAACTTTGCAACTGTTGTAAAATTCTTTAATACGATTTAATACAATAATATTGGTTCTTGCTTTTGGTTCCTTACAGATCTAAATGTATAAACCAATTATATTGAAGAATTTTACAACAGTTGCAAAGCTGCTTTCTCTGCTGAACGCAGCCAATGATAGTCATGATGCACGCATAAATTTCGCACTATTTTTTCGAACTGAAAGATGGCTACCGAAGCTACATGATTGGTCAGTCATAAGAAAATCGGTAGTCGGTATCTTAATGCAGGGTCTACAATAGAAGTCGTAGCGGTCGTAGGATCTTAAGTCGTAGAAAATTGACCAATCACAGTTAATTATTCTTCTCATATTCGACTGTGATTGATCAATTTTCTACAACTTAAGACTCTACGATTGTTACGGGTGCCGTCACATACAACCCGTAATCCGTAATCCGCACCAGATATCTGCAAACGTTACTAGATATTGCGTCCGTAACGTTACGTGTGTTTTACCTCCTTGTGTCCCATGGAGCCGTAATCTCATGAAATTTCCGTAAAAATTACTAGTTATTACTAGTAATGCTTTTCCTAATTTTATCTATTGACTAAATTTGACGATTTAATTAAAACTTTTGTTATAATCAAAATATATTCTGTAATTTTCTTATAAAATAAAATAAAAATGAACCGTATAACTTCTTAAATAAAAAATATTACATTTACACGTCCGCATTTTGCGGCTCCATGGGACACAAGGAGCATGTAAGCACGCAACGCAATTGCACTCCGACGTCAAACAAAAATAAACGTGCCATAATCTACCTTTAATTTATAAATAGTGATTAATTTGTTTGACAACAATTTTGAAATTAGAAGTGCATAATGAATCTTTGATATATGTTATTAGTGCAAATACAACAAATGGTCTGCTTTCTGACGTGCACTAGACTGCACTAGAACTCTCTTTTCACGTAGTTGCAGATTACGTGAAAAAATATCTGCCGTACATACGCAATCCCTAGATGCTTTTGCGGACATCCGGTGCGGATTACGGATTGCGGACTGTATGTGACGGCACCTTTAAGCGGGGAGCACAGATTCTTGCATAATGCATAAGAAAATGTACCAATCAAAGCCCTCCGTTTCCTTCCTTTCCATGAAATAAAGAATTCTGATTGATTAAATTTCTTATGCATTACATGTTATGCGTTAT